GAGGCTGAAAGCTTAGCTGAAGCAGCCACTTAAAGAACTGAGCTAGGGCCAGGCCCCTATGCTATGGGCTTTGGATGGTATGATTTGTCAATGTAAGCTCAGCAGTAGCACATGTATTGCTTGTGTAAGTGATGATAACTGGGGAGGCTATGTATGTGTGGGAATGCAGGGGAGCTATGCAATATACCTATACTCCTTTTTAGTTTTGCTGAGGCTAAAACTAAACTTTAAAAAAAGCCTTTTAAATTTTTATTTTTAAAAAAGAGCAACATGAGTGGCAGCTTTTGCACAGTAAACTAGCAATAACTCTTAAAGGATTCTGTTTAGGAAGTAGGTGAGAGAAAGAAGATATAAAAGAAAAGTAGTGAAGAGAGGAAATCTGAAGTATAGAGTAGAGGGCCGGGGATGTAGCTCAGCTTGTATAGTGCCTGCTTGGCAAGTACGAGGCCCTGAGTTCTATTCCTGCAACCAAAAAAAGTAGAAATTCCCTCCTCTGATAACTTGAAATGAAGAGCAGAAACACTTTCTTCTCTTTCCAATAGGGTTATATAGTTTTGTTTTCCTTAGTATACATATGGGACGCTTTCTGTTCATTTTACTGCTAGAGTATATGAATATCTGTTCTTTATATTGCCAATTTTTATTTTAGGAGCTTTGATTTTAGTGGTAGTGTTTATAGTATGTTTTTCCATCTCTTTTCTTCTATCACAGCCTTATATATGGTTTAAATTTTTAGTTACCAAACAATACTTCACCTGTATTAGTATTAACTTTTTGTTGCTATTAGTTATTGTCCCACTTTGACACTTCCCCTATAGCAGAAGTAAAGGATAATAACCATTTTTGAAACATTGTTTTTAATAAAAAATATATTCAGTGTAGAAAATGTAGGAAGATAAAAGATGTCACACTATTTCTTTAATGATGACCACTATGATACCGTGATGATGCTTTCTTACTTTATAACATGCAGTTTTTCGTTTATAAAATGTGATCTTTCTGTGGTTATAGTACTACATCCAAATTTATAAATTTAAATTTATAAATTCATTGAGTTTTTCAGAACATCATTTAATGGTTACCTGATATTCTGTCATGTACACATTAGTGGGCATAAAGGTGATTTTCTGTTTTGCCTGTATAGATATGTAAGTAATATTTTCTTCATAAAGCATTTCTTATATTTTCGAGCTTTTCATTTATCACCCAAGAAGTAAGACTCTTGGAAAATTGAGAGCTCTTGATGCATATTATGAAATTTTGCCATGCTTCTGACAATATAAAGGAAGGGTGAATTCATATCTTATCAAATTTTACTATTCTAGGGGCCGGGGAGATGGCTCAGTAGAATAAGCACTTCCTTGGCAAGCGCAAGACCCTGAGTTCAATCCCCAGTTCCGCAAAAAAAAAAAAAAGTTTACTATTCTGGACTTCATTATGACCTGTGTGCATCATTAGTTTTAGTGTTGAGTATGATCACATGGTATATGTACTAACTTCTTCAACAGCAGTAACTCTTTCTGAGTTTTCAGATATTTATGAAGCAGGTACAGAAAATACATTGTGTGCTGGTTACATAGTTAATTGATGGAGGCCAAAATTTTTCCATATAAAAGAAACAATACTGGATATTCCTCTCAGCTCCAAAGCAGAAAACATGAATCTAGCAAATTGAGTCTTATGTAGAGATCAGGACTTTTTGATAGTCCTTCTTTAAGAGAAGTGATTGAAAAACTAAAAACTGTCTTCATACCCATAAGAGAATTATCACAAGAAAGAGTAGGTTAATTTTGTTTTTGAATAGTATCGATAGGTTACATAAAAAGTATGGAGTGATATTTATAGCTATTGGAAACTAAACCAGCTAGTCTTTAAATTACTTATTCCTCACATATATATAGATACATTCGTTGGTGTTTTTTAAGCTGTGCATTTTGTGGACTCTACCAACTCCTCAGTCCTTAGGTTAAATTTCATCATTTAAAAGAAGAAAAAAATTATGATAATTTCAGTTATGCATGGTTGATTTTTAATGCTCGGAATTGAATTTAGGACCTCACACACACTAACTACATACTCTGCATACTGCCAGCAGTATGATTTTGATATTTATTTATTATTTATTTATTTATTTATTTATTTATTTATTTATTTTTGGTTCGGTGATTGAGAGAATTTGAAAGGTATAAAGATGTGTTTGAATTGACTGGTTTTGCTATAAAATATAGAAAGAGCTTTGGTGTAGGTAAAATTCCAGAATCATAGACACTGAATTCAATTATAAATTGCTCCATTGCTTTTATCCATATATGTTAATAGAGCAAAGTTAATATTAGCAAAGATCAAGAGAGTCTTATGAGTTTGTGTCATCTCCTTGAGGGAAGGAAGGTTTAATGAAGAACTAAAACAAGATCTACTCCCTTTTGAGCTGGGGAGATGGCTCAGCAGAATAAGCACTTGCCTGGCAAGTGGAAGGACCTGAGTTCAGTCCCCAGTTCCACCAAAAAAAAAAGATCTACTCCCTTTTGTATTGATGATACTTTACAAAGACAATTTGTTAGTTATACAGCTTTGAGGAAAAGTGTGCTAGGGCTAAAGATGGAATGTTCCTAGCTACAAGGGAAGAGAGGGTAGTAGGAAAAAAGAAATGGGTATAATTAAGGTTCCAAAAGATTTATAAACAACTCTTTGATGGGAAACTAAATATTTTGGTAATTGTCCTTTGAAACAAAGCAGTTATTCTAAAATATGTTGTTTATAGGGAGATTGGTGGACGGCTCCTAATGGTAGAAACTCGACTTCCAAATGATCTGGCTGAGTTTGAGGGAGACTTTTCCTTGGAGGGGCTTCGTCTGTGGAAAACAGCATTCTCAGCAATGACTCAGAATCCAAGACCAGGTTCACCCATTCGTAATGGCCAAGCAGTTGTCAATAAAGAATTGAGTAATAATAGCCATAAAATGGTTGAAGATAAAAAAATTGTGATCATGCCTTGCAAATGTGCCCCCAGTCGACACCTGGTTCAAGCATGGCTTCAAGCCAAAGAAGAATATGAGCGTTCTAAGAAACTGCCTAAAATTGAGCCAACTGGAATTTTAAAAGCTGTTGAGAATTTCAGCGCTTTAGCTAACCCTGATGACAAACCTGTAATGCCTCCACAAATGGATGAAAGCCCACGTGTACTTCCTACTACAGCACATACTAAGGAAGATGCGAATGATTCTTATACTGCTTTACAAGCACCAAGTAGAAGATATAGTCAGGCTGCAAGTAAAAGCCAGATGCTGCTACCAGTTGCCTCTGCAAATGATTCTGAGAAAAATGAAGATGATGATGATAACTGTTATGTTAGTTACAGCTCCCCTGATTCTCCAGTAATTCCTCCTTGGCAACAAGCAACATCCCCAGATTCTAAAGCATTAAGTAAAGACAATAGACCTTCATCACCAATAGAGAAACTATGTTCCCTGGCTATTGAGAATTTCTTAAAGCCAATAAAAGATGGTATACAGAAAAGCCCCTGCAGTGAGACTGGGGAGTCTCTACTCATCTCTCCAACTAGGGCAAGAACTGGGAAATGTGAATCACTTTGCCTGCATAGTACACCAATTATACAGAGAAAACTTCTGGAAAGGCTACCTGAAGCAACTAGCCTTAGCCCTTTATCAACAGGTAAGTGTAAAATAATGGAAAGGTTTGTAATGGTCTTTAAAGATAGAAATAAAGGGCTGGCCAAATAGCTCAGCGAATTAAAGCTCAGGGGCCGGGGGTTCAGTCCCTAAGCCTGCCATGCTGGCATTGCCCCCAGGGTGTGCTGAGATAGCAGTTGAGACTGGGCATGGTGGCATACTTGTAATCCCAGCTCTTGAGAGGCTATAAACAGGTGGATCACTACCAGTTTGATCTAGTAGTGAGACCCTGAATATCCTGTAGACCCTTCCCTAAAATACAAAAGAAAGGAAGAGAGAGAGACAGACAGTAAGATGGGGACAGTGACACTTGCCCATTATCCCAGCCACTCCAGAGGCAGGGTGATCATAAATTTGAGGCCTACCTGGGCAAGTAAAAACCATATTACAGATTTTAAAAAGCTGGGAATATAGCTCAGTGGTAGGATACTTGCCTGTCATGTGTGAGTCCCTCGTTTCAATCCCCAGTGATATCAAAAAGAAAAAAAAAGGGGGGGGGGAGAGAGGAAAGATGCTGGTATGTGCCTGTAAATCAGATTTTTATAGGTTGCATGTAGCTAAGCAAATAGATTATCATAAGTCAGATGAATTTTCATCTTTGTGCAGTAAAATCTGCTTCCTTTCTGTCATCCTACCTTGGCATGAAATACTGTACAGTATTTCTTGTAAGAAGTTTTGTCTCTTCAACTTGATTTTCCCCATTGGCCTTTTTTTT